TAAACCCTAAACCCTAAACCCTAAACCCTAAACCCTAAACCCTAAACCCTAAACCCTAAACCCTAAACCCTAAACCCAAGGTTGTAGGGGCCCCAAAACGGAGCCCTCCTGAAAGCTTTTGGGTGTGTTTCTTTTGCCTTCGTGTGCCCAGGCTTGCCCTAAGCCCTAAACATGACATCCTAAACTTGAGGCCCCTTAAAGAGGAACACCGTGGGTTCTGCCTGCAATTTCTTGGGATGTAGAGCTTTTGGCAGGAAATCATCGACGTTGCTTTCGAGTCTTTCAAAGACGAGCCGCCCGGCATTGATGTGGGGGAGTTTCGCGCAAGGTTTCGGTTCCCTCGTTAGCACATGTCTTCGCAAGAATCTCATGCGCAAAGTTTCCGGTCCTGGCGCTCGACTTCGGAAGTCAACGGGCATGTTCCTTTTCTCCTGTCCCTGAGCCCACTCCTTAGATGTTGGGGCCAGCATTTTCGGCGGCTTGACATCCATTTCCAGATGGACATGACACAGTCAACAAAGCCCAGATTGTACGGTGGAAAGAGGTGAATGTAGTGAGCGAGCCAACAGTGAGGATTCTATGGACGCACCACCAAACGATTGATCACATGGCCGTTTCTTCCTCACTCGTGTTCCCTCGGCAAAGCGAGTCCTCAAGAAAGAAAAGGTAATTGCAGCTTAAGTTGTATATCCACGGTCTCAGAGATGGACCCACAAACTCCCCCACAAGACGGTTTCTTGGTTATAGAGGTGTGTCATCCTTCTGTGTGTTTCTATTCTAGCTGGTGTTCGATTGAGATTTAGAGCGTGGAACCAAAGTTGATGATTGGTGCTGTTGGCTAGAAAAGTTCTATCTTATAAGGCGTGTTTCCAAAGGCTACGGGTTCTCCCCCCCCCCCCCTCCCTGCAGGAGGTTTAGGAGCCCCAAAGGGGGGCACCCTAAACCTAAACCCTAAACCCTAAACCCTAAACCCTAAACCCAAAACCCAAAACCCTAAGACCGGTTGAACCTTTTCACACCGTTCCTTGGAGACTCTGCGCAAAAAGGTCGGGGTACATCACCACGGAGAGGCCCCTCGTCATCTCGGGGAGACAGTGGTTTAGGGTTTAGGGCTAGGGTTCAGGGTTTTGCCGGCCCAAACGGCCCCATTGTTGGACCACCAGAAGCTGAAACCCTCTGAAACTCTCATCCCAAACACATGCGTGAGCGTGTTGCATGCGGCTGCAATTGTGAGACTTTGTGAGGGGTGCCGGATGAACGCTCGATGTGTCGGATTTCTTGTTTCTTTCTTCCTAGGTGGGATGAGCCTTGTGTGTTTGTTCTTTCCTCATGTCCAGTCTAGGCAGGGACGCTCTCCAACAAGTGTGCAGTACGACGAACCCGCTTTGCCCCAAAGCCCTGATCCCAAAAAGAGCCCTGGAACCCTAACTCTGAATCCCTAAGCCCTAGGACGCTTTGAATCCTTTCGAACCCCAAGCCCGAAGACCTTAAACTCCTAAACCCTAAACCCTAAACCCCAAACCCGACGCCGTCCCTGTTGGTAACATGGCGTGGTGGAATTTGGAATTCTCACTCCTCTAACTTTTGAATCATGACAAGAACAAGAAACGAGAAGGTGGAATTTGGATTTCTCGACTTCTCTACTTGTTCTTTACTTTTGAATTATGAATGCAAGAAACAAAAACAAGAAATGAAGGGGGTGGAACATGTAAGATTACAAGCTCCATTGGTTCTCTATGCCTGATTTTTCGAATACTGAAGAAGCGGGGTGAGTTCATTTAAGATGATAAGTCTCCCTTATCTCTACAACATCAACCAGTCTGCAACGCCTCGTTTTGCATCAAGTTGTCGGACTGTTCTGTTCAGCAAGCGTTGGTTTTTCACTGGCGAAACCCAGTCAACCTTCTTCTTCAATTTTTCAAAAATTAAAGCCTACGTCTTTTGTTTTTTCTGCTCATTTAAAAGGGCCTCTGTTTTTTGTTCAGGATTCGAAACAGAGAAGAAACCCGTTCGAGTCCAGCAACCGTTCGAACCCAGGTTCCAAACTCAGGTTCGAACTTCGATTCAGTATTCAAATCCAAACGCAGGTTTAAAGCCAAGTCCAGTTGATTTTTTCTCCAACACAGCCCCCAAACCCGAAAGCCGAAACCCTAAACCCTAAAACCCTAACCCCTGAAACCAACTCTGTGAAAGCCCCCCTGGTTCTAAGCAGCTCCCCACTTGGAGCTTCATGGGCACTTCTAAGCAGGGTTCGAAGTATGGCAGGTGTGGTTACCGCCTAAACCCTAAACCCTAAACCCTAAACCCTAAACCCTAAACCCTAAACCCTAAACCCTAAACCCTAAACCCTAAACCCTAAACCCTAAACCCTAAACCCTAAACCCTAAACTCTAAACACCCACTTGTATGTGTCCATGAACCTCCAAGCAGGCTCAAGGAAGCCTTCGAGGCCATCGATCAGCTGGGGGACATTAGTGCGCTCACCCAGCCGTGGGTCGTTTTTTTGGGGGGTTTAGGGTTTAGGGTTTAGGGTTTAGGGTTGAGGGTTGAGGTTGAGGGTTGAGGGTTTAGGGTTGTTTAGGAGGGTGTTTTGGGTTCTCAGACGTGTCTGAGTTCAGGGTTTTACCAAACCTGTTGGAACACCAGCCCCCTCGGTGCCTCATGAGGCGACATTCAGATGCTCTTGGTCGGAGCCCCAGCGTCGTGATTCTTGGGGTTTTGGCTGGGGGGGCTCAGGCCCCACTGTGGGATCCCGACTTCGGAATTCTGGGAGAAAATTCGGAGAGGGTTTCAGGGGCTGTTCCCGTGTTCTGGAGTGGGGGCGAAGGAGTCCCTGTGTTGACTATAAGCCCTCCCGACCCTGCAGCTGGACACGCTCTGTGGGGTTCAGGGGGGCGGTAAAGAGCTGATGTGGGGCTCTAGGTGCGCTTGTAGCCACCCTAAACCCTAAACCCTAAACCCTAAACCCTAAACCCTAAACCCTAAACCCTAAACCCTAAACCCTAAACCCTAAACCCTAAACCCTAAACCCTAAATCCTAAACCCTAAACCCTAAACCCTAAAGCCCTATGGGTGCGGGGAACGCGGCGTCGGAGTTCGGGGTCGATGTCCAAGACTTGCAGCTACGGTGCCTGCAGGATAGCATCGACCAAGACGGCGACGGTAAGATCGACGAGGATGAGCCGCCCAGCCTGTGATTTTCCTTCCGTCGAAGTCGGGTTTGGAAAGAAGGGGCTCAGAGGGGGGCGGTTGCCTCGAAACCCTAGACCCGATCCCTTGTTCAGGTCCAGAGGGCGTGTTGGGCAGGTGAAAGGGGGTTTTCTCCTCCCGGTCGTCCCCAGGTTCCGGCACATCATGACGCGGAAGTTCCTGGGCGAGGACGATGACTCCTCGTTCGCCACGGCCCCGGATGGATCTGACTTCTTGGGGGGGGGCCTCTCAGCAGGTCGCCAACCCCAAGCCCTAAACTCTAACTTCGAAGGGTCGGGATCCCCAAGCTCCCAAAAGCTTCGTCCTTTTGTCAAAGAAACCGGCTCCCATGGCTTCAGGTCCATGCCTTCGAGATGTTGGATGTCAACAAGGCCCACCCTAAACCCTAAGCCCTGAACCATAAGCCCTCGACCCTAGACCCTAAACCCTAAACTCTAAACCCTAAGCCCTAAGCCCATTCTCCGCTTTCTCCCAAGAATGCTGAGAGAAGGACGTCTCGTAGGTGCAGCGCCCGAAGCCGCTGCTTCTTGTGTTCAGCACATATTTGCCGCACATATTGTACTGCTTGGTGCACCCCGGCAGGATGGCTACATCCCCATGGCCGATCTGAGAAGTGTGCTGATGAAGGAAGGCGGCCTTGCTCCAACCCTTAACCCTTGGGGGCGGCGGGGCGGGGTGGAAGCAGTTTTTCCCAACATGGGGTTTAGGGTTTAGGGTAGGGGTCCCCCCCACTTCAGGGTTTTGGGGCCCAAATTCAAGGTAGAGGCAGCTCACGTGGCCAGGCAGCCAGCCCCTCAGCGAACAGGAGGTCGACGAGCTCATGATGTTCGCCGACATTGCCGCGGCCTTGTGTGCAAAGCGAGTTGCTTTTTTTGACCCCCAAAACCCAAAACCCAAAACCCGAAACTTCCCTCTCCCCAGGAAGGCGATGGCCTCATCGAGTACAAGAGCTTCCTGCGCTGGCTGAGCAACCCCGATGCTTTCCGCTAGTGCGGCCTCCGGCCTGGATGAGCAGAGACCTGCGGGTGAGTTGGGGAGAGGTGGCTCAGGCTCAAGGCTCCAGGCTCTGGTGTGGGGCAGACTTGCAACAGTGAAACTACCGAGAGCAGGATACCAGTGGCATAATTGCACTCTGTCTCCGTTATGTTGAGTCATTTCTTTTTCCTATTTGTTGTACCTGCTCGGTCTATCGTGTCTTTGTCTTCATTCGAAGGATTCGGGTGAGAGTGACGGAGCTTAGAGCTGTTAGAGCTTATGATTTCAGGTATGTCTCTGCGTGTCCAGACCATCCAAGTTGTCCGGCTCCTGGGAAACGACTGCTGGCGTGTTACGGGCCCGTCTCTGCAAGAGGCAGAGGCAGAAAAAGCCGTGCCCGAACCGCATCAACATGCACCCTTTGAGCTCCATAAGACGCCCTGCAGGGGCCCTACTCTCACCTTCACCACGCAGAGACCGCAGAGAGTGTCCCTCTAGGGAGGTTAGAGGTCGGGGCTGTCCTTGGTCCTTTTGCCCAAGCAGGAGGGAATTCGGGGTCGTGATGTGCTACTCGCAAGAGGGGGGTTTGCAGCTGCCAGTGAGCCCTTTGTGCAAATTGAGTTCAGTGGGGAAGCCCAAAGTGCCTGTTCCCCTCACGGACGTCTTCGCGCGAACGAATGCTCGCCGGACAAGAAGAGGGAAGCCGCCGTGTGGGGGGGGCAGGGGAGGGATGGTAGGGGGTGCGCCCTAAACCCTAAACCCTAAACCCTAAACCCTCTTCCTTGAAACGAAGGACCGCAAACGCGGGAGATGTG